TCTTCCGGCCAGACCCGCCCCTACCTACCTCGCCCCGCCCCTCCCGGCTCAGTCCCGCCTTCTCCCGGCCAGGCCCCGCCCCTAACAACCCACGCCCGCCCTGCCTCCCACCCTAACGGTCTCCGCGGGGCTTCGGGTGGGGCTGCCCCTCCCTGCCTTCCCTCATCACAACCTGCTCCCCCTAACCTGGTCGACCAGGTCTCACCCAGGAAGTTCTGGTAGCAGTTACGGGTCTGGTTCTGGTTGGGGAAGCGCGGGTCGAAGGGCGGCGTCCACCATTTCTTTCTGGGGGGCTTCTGGGTATCCAACATCCACGGAGGAGGCAACTCCTGCGGGACAGGACGGGGACTCCGTGGGGCCGAGGGGGCGCCCCCGCTCCGACCCGTACCCGGATCCTGACCCCCGCCCCTCCACCCTACCCGTGGTGCCCTCAGCAGCCTGGATCCTCACCAGCTTGGCCACCGGATCGGCTGTGCGGTGGTGCCCAGGTGCCGCTGGCTTCTGAGTCCGCGGGGTGCGGTCCCACCCGGCTCAAGTGAAACGCAACCCGCGGCCGGATTGGCTAGGACCCCCGAGCCCCAGCCAATGGGAGCCGTCGTGCTCCGCAGGCCCGGTAAGGGCGCCCCTATCCCACCCCTGGCTTCCCCAACGCCCCCTCGAGGACCCGCGCGCACACAGGCACCGAGGTGCGACTCGCTGAGTCTCAGACTCAGGCTTTAATCTCTGCGAAGTTGGGCGGTTCCGTGGGCTCGCCCCCGCACCCCCAATATATAAACGCATAGTGATAGTTCTGATCTCTGTATGACAGAGCGAATCCCCCAATCGGCTTTTCAACATTCCGCTTCTTGCAGTCGGGGCGCACAGCACCCTGGGGACCTGTGGAGTTAGAGGAATGAGCTGCGGTGGGGTCTGGGCTCCTGGGACATCCCCCCCTCGCCCCCAGGTCTAAGGCAGGTCTCCGGGGGTACCTGGCCGAGCTGGGCTCCTCTGGACAGTTTCCGACTGAGGCTGAGCCCAGCATCCGGCTACTGAAAGTGCTGGGAGGGCAGGCTGCAGGGAGAAAGCAAGCCAGAGAGAGCTTTGGGGGACAGGGCAGTGAGAAGGGGTACCCAGGGCTCTGAGAGCTGCAGGTGCCTGGCTTAGGGGAGTCTGCGTCCCCGAGGGCGGGGCTTGCTGTGTGTTTGGTTCATTGCATCTGCCTGGGGCAGAGCCTGGCGGTAGTAAATGTACATTAAATAGAGGAGGAGGAATGAGTGAGTCCTGGCTCTAGGGGCAGGCAAGTAACTGGAATCTGGGCAGGTGGTTTCCCTTCTTGAACCCTGCTAAGCTTCTCTCCCTCCTGCCTGGTTAATATTAGGCCTGACTCAGGATTGTTCACACTGACAGCCAAATGTACCGATGTAGAAGCCTGGCCAGGTGCAGTGGCGCAGGCCTGTAATCCTAGCATTTTGGGAGGCAGAGGTGGGAGGACTGCTTGAGCCCAGGAGTTTGAGACCAGCCTGGCCAACATGGTGAAACCCCACCTCTACTCAAAATACAAAAGTTAGCCAGGCATGGTGGCATGCGCCTGTAATCCCAGCTACTTGGGAATCTGAGGCAGGAGAGTCACTTGAATCTGGGAGGCAGAGGTTGCAGTGAGCCGAGATAATGCCATTGCACTCCAGCCTGGGCGACAGAGAGAGACTGCCTCTCAAAATAAAATAAAATTTTTTTTCCTTTTTTTTTTTTTTAAGATGGGGTTTCACTGTATTGGTCAGGCTGGACTCGAACTCCTGACCTCAGGTGATCCGCCCACCTCAGCCTCCCAAACTGCTGGGATTACAGGTGTGAGCCACCGCACCTGGCTAAAATAAAATAAAATAAAATGAAAAATAAAAACCTTAGCTGGGTGTTTGGAAGGTGAGCCCAGGAAGGTTGAGGCTGCTGTGAGCCATGATCACACCACTGTACTTCAGGCTAGGCAATAGAATGAGACTCTGTCTCAAAAAAAAGGTCCACTCTGTCCCCACTTCCTGCAGCAGCTACCTCCCCGTCTCTTTCCTCCTGTTACAGCAAATGCTTGGATGACGCTGGTCTACCCCTAGCTTCCAACTCCTCACTTTGCATACATACACATGCATGAGTGTTTACAGAGGGAAAATACCCTCAGAAAAGCTCAGGGCTGTCACCGTTTTATTTCAAATATTCTTTGAGGCCAGGTGTGGTGGCTCATGCCTGTAATCCCAGCACTTCGGGAGGCCACGCCAGCCTGGCCAACACGGTGAAACCCTGTCTTTACTAAACATACAAAAATTAGCCAGGTGTGGTGGCAGACGCTCATAATCCCAGCTACTTGGGAGACTGAGGCAGGAGAATTGCTTGAACCCGGGTGGCAGAGGTTGCTGTGAGCTGAGATCGCACCACCGCACTCCAGCCTGGGCAACAGAGCAAAATTAAGTCTCAAAAAAAAGACATACACACACACACACACACACACATATGTATACATATGCATATATGTATATGTGTATATATGTGTGTGTGTGTATATATATATTCTTTGAAATAGGGTCTTGGCCAGGCATGGTGGCTCATGCCTGTAATCCCAGCACTTTAGGGGGCCAAGGCAGGTGGATCACCTGGGGTCAGGAGTTCAAGACTAGCCTGGCCAACATGGTGAAATCCTGTCTCTGAAAAAAGAAAGAAAGAAAGAAAAAGAAACAAGGTTTCTATTGCCCAGGCTGCAGTGCAGTGGCATGATCGTGGGTCATTTCAGCCTCAACCTCCCAGCTCAAACAGTCCTCACACCTCAGCCTCCAGAGTAGCTGGGACCACAGGCACATGGCACCATGCCTAGCTAACTTTTTTTGTTTTTATATTTTGTAGAGAGGCTGTCTTGCTCTTTTGCCCAGATTTGTCACCATTTTTTATTTTTATTTATTTATTTTTTGGCGTTAGGTTTAGGGAATCTGTCACCATTTTTTAATGTAGCCCTTAAAGTGGCATTTGGCACACTCACAATGTTGTGCAGCCAACACCTCTACCTAGTTCCAGGGCATTTGCATCACCCCGAAAGAAACCTCCAACCTGGCTGGGCATGGTGGCTCACACTTGTAATCCCAGCACTTTGGGAGTCCGAGGCAGGCGGGTCACCTGAGGTCAGAGTTTGAGACCAGCCTGACCAACATGGTGAAACCCTGTCTCTACTGAAAATACAAAAATCAGCTGGGCGTAGTGGTGGGCACCTGTAATCCCAGCTACCTGGGGCTGAGGCAGGAGAATCACTTGAACCTGGGAGGCGGAGGTTGCAGTGAGCCCAGATTGCGCCACCACACTCCAGCCTGGGCGATGAGAGCAAAACTCCATCTCAAAAACAAACAAACAAAGAGGTTGACAGGAGAATGCCCTAAACTCAGGAGGCAGAGGCTGTAGTGAGCCGAGATGGCATCACTACACTCCAGCCTGGGTGACAGAGGAAGACTCCACCTCAAAAAAAAAAAAATAAATAAAACTGAAACCTGCAACCCGTTAGCAGTCACTCCCATTGCCCCACACCAGGCCCCTGGCCTCCAGAGATTCACCTTCTGCCTGCTCTGGACCTTTGTGGGTCCAGAAATGGGGTCTTTGTGGCCTCTTGTGTCTGGCCCCTTTCACCGGGCACGATATTTCTGAGGCGCTGCAGCCTGGAGATTGCCCACTCGACACCCTCCTCCGACTCACCCAGCAGAACTTCACCCCCCACCCCCATATCACTTCCACACTGGTAAATCCAGAGGTCGGGCCCCAGGCCCTGCTCCTCCACCTGACCCCAGCATTTGACACGGACGTTCCTTCCCTCCCTTGTCACCAACTCCACGTGGTGCTGGGGATGCCCAGCCTCTGGCTGCTCTGCCTTCCCTGACTCTGGCTCCTCTTTGCCCAAACACCTCGGCCTTTTCTCCCTCTCCACTCACTCGTCGGTGAACTCCTCCAAGCTCACAGCCTGAGCTAGTCTGTCCAGGCACCAGTGACCCCACATTGCTTCCCGAGCTCGAGACTCATGGCCAGCTGCTTACCCTGCGTCTCCCCCACACCTCAGAATCAAGATGTCCGAGAGAGATGTCCTGAGCATCTCCTGGGACCCACTCTCTGCACTGCTGCCTCCTCCTCTTCCTCCGGGTATCTGGGACCCACATCCTCCCAGCCCTCTTCAAGTCAGCCTTTCTCACATCACAAATTCCAATCCTCGAAGCAATCTATTGGTTCACTCTTCAGGCACCTCCAGAGGCCCGTTTCTTCCCACCTCCGCCACCCCCGCCTTGTGCAAGCCACTGTCTCCTACCTGGGTTACTGCAGCAGCCCTGCTAACCCCTGTTCTCCAGGTGCCCACTCCCGCCCCTCTACATCCTCCAGCCCCAGACAGAGGCAGCCTCTTCACACAGGAATCAGTCCCCATCGTTCTTCTGCCCCAAACCCTCCAGCTCCCTCAGACTCAAAGCTGAGGTCCCAGGGCCGGGCGTGGTGGCTCACGCTTGTAATCCCGGCACTTTGGGAGGCTGAGGCGGGCAGATCACTTGAGGTCAGGACTTCGAGACTAGCCTGGCCAACATGGTGAAACTCGGTCTCTACCAAAAATATAAAAATTAGCCGGGCATGGTGGCTCGTGCCTAGAATCCCAGGTACTCAGGAGGCTGAAGCAGGAAAATCACTTGAACCCAGGAGACAGAGGTTACAGTGAGCTAAGATCATACCACTGCACTCTGGCCTGGGTGACAGAGTAAGACCCTGTCAAAAAAAAAGAAAAAAAAAGTGAAAGGAGAGAGAGAGCACCTCTGTCTCGTAAATAGCAGAGCTCACAGTAAATGCTAGCCGCTAACCCCAGCTACCTGGGTGGAAGACTGGAGACGCCCGCTTCCTCCTGTGTCTCCTCTGCCTTGGTGGTCGTGTTCCTCACAGTCTCAAGTTCTAAGAGCACGGGCCAAAGAATTTCTGAAGACGACCCCACAGTGGCTAGGGGGTGCTGGGCTGGCATCGTCAGGGGCTCCTGCGACACTCTCCTGGGCTGCTGGGACGTCCTGGCCGCGGCCTCCGTCTTTGTGACGGGGGTCTCCGAAAGGGTCAATGGTGGTAAGTCCTCCCACCGTGAGGCAGGCAGGGGGATGGGCACCTCGGAGATTCCTTCCCTCTTCAGACTGGCAGAGGTGGGCCTGGAGCGAAGGGGCAGCTTGGGCAGCCCCTCGGGGTCCCAGGGTGGCTCCTTGGCTTCGGCCCATTGCTGCTCCCTCTCCTTCGCCCAGGCATGTGACTCTGGCTGCTCTCTGATCACCACTGGCTTCCCCTCCAGCGAGGACCGCTGGCTGGAGTGGAAGGGCACTGAAGCCATCATAGGCGTGCCAGATGCCTGCGAGAGCCAGGAGGGAAGTGAGACCAAAGCGCGTCTGGAGCGCTGCTCTTTGGAGTTGGCCATGATCATGCGCCTGGCGAGGGTGAGCCCTTCCACAGAGAAGGGCCTGCTGTGCTCCCGGGAGGGGCCCCCGATGGCCCGCTCCTTCGTCTGCATCCATCCCTTCCACTGCTCCATCTCCTTGGATCTCACACCAGGCTGGTCCAGGGATCTCTCCTCCTTCGCCCAGTGGACCCGGTCCTCC